TGTGTACCATTAGGCTATGTGTTCATACTGAATTTTGAGCTGTGTAGTTGCCTTCTCTTCCTTAACAGACTATATGATATATTAGTTTATTGTAATATTATATTGTCATTTTGATGATACTTAAAGAAGGTCTAGTATCTGCACTAGCCTAATATATGCATAATTTCACCTGTCTACTGATCCATTTTTTAACCACAAATTTGGTTCAATAATAATTGAACCAACAGAACCAACAGTAATAATTTTTTATTTAACATGTTGTAATTTAAGAGGATTTTACAAAATATTACTAAAATATTTATTAAAATATTTATCTCTAACTTATTCATCATTTATCATCTGTAATACTATCGTGTAACCACTAGATGGCTGTTTAGCTCTCAAAATATAAACATATAAACATGACTGTGTTCCCTATAGTTTACTTGTATTTGGATATCTACACTGAACAAAATTATAAACGCAACACTTTTGTTTTTGCCCCCATTTGTCATGAGCTGAACTCAAAGATCTAAGACTTTTTCTATGTACACAAAAGGCCTATTTCTCTCAAATATTGTTCACAAATCTGTCTAAATCTGTGTTAGTGAGCACTTCTCCTTTGCCGAGATAATCCATCCACCTCACACGTGTGGCATATCAAGATGCTTGTTAGACAGCATGATTATTGCACAGGTGTGCCTTAGGCTGGCCACAATAAAAGGCCACTCTAAAATGTGCAGTTTTACTGTACTGGGGGGGTCCGGGGAGTCCGAAAACCAGTCAGTATCTGGTGTGACCACCATTTGCCTCACGCAGTGCAACACATCTCCTTCGCATAGAGTTGATCAGGTTGTTGATTGTGGCCTGTGGAATGTACCGTCAATAGGCCTACTTCAATTAAAAAGTCTTGGACAAACTATGCAAAAAAAAAACTCTACATTGTTTTCCCTCAAAGCGTTGAAAGTTGCACCTGGTGGAGTTTGAACTTAACATCAAACTGCTTCTGTTTCACACAAATGCCGGCACAGACGTGCATGTTCGGCTAGATCGCTTTGAACTCGTGCATCTTCGGAAGCGGAAAGTTACAAAAAATGTCGTGCACACCGCCACGCAATGACGTCATATTTGCCGCGCACGGACGCGTCGAGTATAAATCAGCCTTGACTTACCATCTCATCATTAGACACGCCTTTAGAGAGAAGTGCATCTTTACGGATTATGATTATAATGAAAGTTTTTGTTTTTTATTTTTTTTATTTCGTTAAGTAGTAATTTAAAGCCAGTGGTGTTCCCATTCAGTCAGTCACGTTCTACGTTACGTCAGTGACTGACGAATTGGGATCTCGCCCGAGAGCCCAATCACCTTCGAGTGTTAACTAAACAAGCCAATGACAGTTGGCGTGCATGTTTCACCACGCGCACCCCGCCCCGCAGCGCGGGTATAAAAGGAGAGCGCGTGCAAACGCACATCAGCTTTTCGCTTCGGAGCCGAGCCTTCTACAGGACGAATCTCCGCGAGTGTTCGAGAAACAGCTGGCGTTGGTGTGACGGCGTATCAGCGGGGGTTGCCATTCAGGCTGCTGAAATCTCGGCGGGCTGCAGCTTTCATTCTG